GAGGTATCCTCAACATGTTCCGCAGAGTCATCCACTTTCTCCTCGTCTCCAATCACGGCAGCTAGACTGCGGAAATTGAACATTGGCTCAAGAGAGCTAGTGTTGCCCTCTCCAGCAGCGGGACCGCCTGTACCATCCTCTGGGGCAGTTTCCATAACGGAAGAGAAGGACGAAGAGGCGCTGGAGACCTGTCGCAGGTGAGATGGTCGTGACGGCTCGGACTGATCTGCCGATTGGCTTGCTGGTGCTACTGGATCAAGCAGCGTAGAGGGGTTCGTTTCTTCAGCAGTTGACGGCAAGATACGGTCAACTCCCTTGCCTTTGCTACCAGCAGCGATTTCTTCACCAATGATATCTTCGCCTATGACAGAGGATGAGCTACTAGTCCCCTTTCCTAAACTGGACTCGCCAGGGACATCCAAAGCGGAGGCGCTAGCATTATTGCTGTACAAGCCAGTCTTGCGAGCCACCTTATCCGCCTTCTTGGCCTCTTTCTCCTTCTCCTTCTCCCTCTTTTTGGCATCCTTTCTTGCCTCTTTCTCCTCCCGTCTGAGGCGTTCGTCTTCGCTGGCCAAGCTCAGTCGGATAGCTTCCATCATCATCATCTCCTCAAGATCGTCAATTCGGTTGCGCCTCGAGCTTGATCGAGGAGCAGCCAGGTTACCTGTTCCTTCTTCGGCAGAGACGGAATCGGTGTCTTGTCCAGTCGCTCGAGACGTCCGATCAGCACCGGTACGCTCTGTCAAGAAAGCCAATGCATTGAGGGCGGGTGAAGCGGTCCGGCCGCTATTCCCTTCTCCGCCGGTGGCTCTTCGCATTCCCCGCCGTCCGATGCCAAATCCACGCGAGTCACTCCCAGATGCACTGGGGTTGATCAAATACGCCGCAGTATGAAGGGCAGTCGCTGCCGCAGACCGACGTGCCGCGTGGGCTCGTGCATTCGATAATTTGGTGGCCCAGTCCGGCCGAATCCTATCCGTTGTCACCACTGTGGGGTCACTCGCGGATAGCGAGGTCGCACGGCGGCGACCTGGCACGGCTGCAGTGGCAGATGATAAGGAGGAGGTGGAGGATACGGGGGAAGCGAAGTTAGGTGAGAGTCGAGCACTAGGGTCTGCAACATAACTCAGGCCCCGACGAAACGATGGCGGTGAATAGGTGACTCCGAACTCTGGCTGGACACAAAAGGGGCATGCCGAGGGCTCGGAGACCAGCTGTGACTCGGTCGATTCAGCCTGCTCTCCCTCGGCTGAAGGAGCATTCGAGTTAGGCTCTCCATGCTCTGGGGGATGTGGGTCCGGGCGTTTGATCTGCACGAAACACTCGGAGCAAATAGGTTGATCGCAGCATCGGGTACGGTTTAAATACGGCGGGTAGTAGAGGAAACAGATAGGACATTCGCTTGCGTCTTTGTACAAATTGACTTCGATCGGTTGTCCGTTGACAAATGGGTCCTTGGGAAGCTGCAGTTCCCGGGGGGTTAGATCTGTTTGTGAGTTATGCTTGGAGGTTGTCAAAGCAGCCAAGGTCTTTGCTCTTGTTCGGAAAAGAGGGGAGGTGGATGTCCCGGATGCGATCGGAGATGCAGAGGGTAATGATTGAGGGGGTTGGAGGACTGCGAAACATCTGAATTATAAGATTGCGATCTGGACGTGATCGGCACTGTCAGATGCTGAATATTTGTCGGATCGGCAGAGGCTTTGTCCGTGATCTTGGATAATTTGTACTCTAACTCGGGTGGGATCTCATCGGGTAAGGGGATGGGCATGCCTCGTGCAGCCGCCATAATCTGATGCTCAGCCCATGACTCCGAGAAGTCATTAAGACCTCTCCAGAAGGGAGCCAGTCGGCGTTCAATCTAGCCTGTTAGTCTTGACTAATTCGCATCGAGAGGGGATCCCAGGCAAACTTACCATCAGTTGGCGCACCACTACCTTGTTGTAGTCTTCTGTCCCCACATACACGCCTTGTGTCACAAGATACCCTCCATCGACATGCTCCTCCTTCATACTGCGCTCCCTCTCTTTGAGACGAGCCACTCGTTCCTTCTCCAAGCGACGGGCCTCACGCTCTTGTTTTGTCTCCCGCCGATGCTCTAATGTGGCCACCTCTCGATCATGACTGCCGATTCCAAGAATGGAAAGGTCAGGCCTACTACCTCTTGCTGACCGAGAAACTTGATACGGCCGACTTGAACCATCGGAGGCGCCGGATAAATGACTTCGACGACTTGATGGGGTGGAGCGTGACTCCTTGGTCTGGGAGTTTCCCATGTTGGAGAGCCAAGATGGAGATGAGGGGAAGGAGATTCCTTTATCCACAAGTCCACGGTGATTAACTCCGAATGGATATGATGGGAAAGGGCCCCCAAGGGGGGGAAATTTGTATTGTAGAAATGATAGATGGGAGAAGACCAGAGAGTGGAGGTAACTTCAGAGCGGGGGGTGATCTGTCCGGAGTAACTGGGGAAGTGAGATCGGTGAGGAATTTCTACACCCCCGGTGAAGCCGAGAGAATAAAAAAATAAAAATTGGTTACAGATTCAAATTCATGTACAGAAAGAAAGATAGAAGTATCGGATGTGGCGGATGTTAAATTTCTTTTTTTCTTTTTAGGCAAGTATACCTGTTTATCTCAAAGCGGACTATGTTACTATGTTATATAATTCTTATAACATGTAACTATATGAACATGCGTATAGTTATATAGTTAAACAGTTAAAACCTTTTTACTCTCAAATTTGTTTCATCGTCATCGTCAAGTCATGGGTAGATTACTTATAATAGTATATACATCATAGGATGCACAGGGTACAAGTTTTTTTAACCTTGCAGATCTTAAAAGTATTGAGTACGTCATTAACTATGGTATTAGACACAGGAAGATAAGTCTTAGGTACCTTAGGGAGCTTGCACAGGCCAAGGTCCAATTCAGGCCAATTAAGGCCAACATCTAATCTCCAACCTCGGAACCATCTCAACCAATAGACGTCCATTTTGGAAAAGGCGGTGGCATAAAATCAGTCCGTACATTATTTTTGCCCAAAAAAAAAACCCGAGCGGTGTTGGAGCTTTTGGAATCTCCCCCAAATTTATTGTCAAACCTTGACATCCTCAGGTCATGAATTAGTGCCTACTCATTCTTACTATTATCTGGCAATGACTGAAACGACTAGACTGCATATCACGCCTTTCACCCAGGATATCCTTCCCTCGGTGCTGCCAGCATCTATTCGCAACTTGGCCACAGAGATATCTTTCCACGAGATTCCCACCTTCCCAGAGAATAACTACGGATACGTAACTCTGCCAAACATGGAAGCGGAGAAGATCAAGAAGAAGCTGAACGGCTCAATCCTCAAGGGCAAGAAGTTCAAAGTTGAGGCGGCCCGCCCTCAAAAGAGGCACCGAGAAGAAGAGGATGTGTTGCCTGAGGCCCCCTCTAGTGCCAAGAAGAAGTCTAAAAAGTCCAAGAAGCAAGCGCCCGAGGACGGTCTAGTGGAAGGCTTTGAACTTCCCGCAGACCGCAAAGTGAAACGAGGCTGGACCGAGACCAGTGATGCCAAGCAGGAAAGGCGAAAGTCAGAGAAGAAAGAGAAGAAGAGCAAGGAAGAAAAATTGCAACCCAAGTCCAAGTACACCGACAAATCCGAATGCCTGTTCCGAGCAACGATCCCACCCAACCGAGCATCCGACGCAACTTCCGATGATAAGAAAGCAAAGAAGAAGAAGAAGTCCAAGGACAATGTCGTTCATGAATTTGAGAAAACGGTGAGCCAGCCAAGCTTCCTGCGCACCGCGGAGGAAAGCACAGCACCTACGGCTGCATTTGAAGATGGAAAAGGCTGGGTGGATTCCACCGGGAATCTGCGAGAACCCGCGAGCGAGAAGATCTCGAAAGATAATTACCGGCCTGGTCAGATCCCCGGGACCAAGGAGAAGCCTCGCGCTGCCAAATCGGCCGCCAAAGACACGAAAAAGCGTCCACGCAAGGAAAAGACTCCAGAGGAAGCTTCTGAGTCTGAAGATTATACCTCATCGAGTGGCTCATCTTCTGACGAGGGCAGTGAGTCGGAGAGTGAGGTGGATGAGAAGAAATCAGATGAGAACACCGAGGATTCATCTGTATCTTCTGACGAGGAAGACGTCAAGCCGCAATCCCAAGAAGAGACCAAGTCTACAGAAGCTAGCGACGCTGATGCTGAGATACCGAGCCAGTCAGAGTCGGATGAGAGCCCTACAGAGGCTGCGCAAGAGGTGGAACAAGATGCATCTGCCAAGGAAATCCATCCGCTTGAAGCTCTTTTCAAGCGAGCCGCCCCGACAGCATCCAATAACCAGCCAGCTCCCGAGACCGAGGCTGGATTCAGCTTCTTTGGCAATGACATTGAATCCGAGGACGAACCTCAAATGGCTGAGCCGCAGACACCTTTCACACCCTTCACGAAAAATGACCTACAAAACCGAGGTCAGCGCAGTGCAGCTCCCACCCCCGATACTACTGCGGCCACTCGACACATGAAATGGAACGAGAATGAGGACTCGGATGAGGACGTTTCGATCGACAGCCCTGTCACAAAAGCTCGTCCGGAAGCCGGTGCAAGCATGGAAGAAACCGAATTCGCAAAGTGGTTCTGGGAGAATCGCGGCGATAACAATCGCGCCTGGAAGAAGAGGCGACGTGATGCTGCCAAGGAACAGAGACAGAGAGACAACCGGAAGAAGGGATTCAAGGGAAAGTCATAAATTCGAGACTCGGTTTTCCGAGTTGGGTGATTGTATCTAGACTCTGATATGGTGCTTATAAAGGCAGCCCGTAGCCTTTCAACACCAATACCACGTAATTTAAGCCAAGTTCCTTTGATTCCAATATAGATATCAAAATATCAAGACATCTTTTGCCCAGGGTTCTTTGGATTGCGTACACGGTCATGTGACCCATCTGTCCTCGTCATTCAAGCCAAACCCAGGACTTGTCGCATCGTCCACTACATGCCCAGGATGGCTTCTCCCTGGTCCTCACAGCGCAGCATACAGGTGCTGCTGCTGCTCTTCACATTTATGTCACTCACATCATTGGTAGCAGCATCTAGTAAGTGCTAGCCTCTCCTCAACGCGCCAAGTGGGAGATAGGAAATGCTACTATCTTCGCGTCGATATATATTTGTACTAATCCTGAGTCTCTACAGCGCCAACCTCCTTTTGCAAATGCACCTGTTTCTCCAATAGTACGATCATCCCCCTCAATCCCGCCAAGTCTGAATCCTCCTCCGGCATCGACCACGTCCGCTTTTCTGAGCGCGGCTCTGTCGAGCTGGAGCATACCGATGAATACAGCAAACGAGTACCAAAATACCGATCGCTGAATTGCAACGATTGTAATCGCAAGTTCTGTCTCGACTACGAGCTACCGACATGCAAAGGCGCTAAGGAGGAAGATGTGTACACGACTTGCTTCCGTAAGTGAGCCAAGAGGAATTGGATATCACAGAGGTGCTAACTGGATAGAGCGAGATTCACGAAAAGACGAAGCGGTGGTGTTTATTTTTATTTTTGCTACAGGTGGACTACTGGCTTGGGCTGCCTGCAAGCCATGGATTGAGCGATATGTTGAGGTAGGCTGCCATAATCTCAAGGAGGAAAACCAACTAACTGATTTAGGCTGCACGAGAACGCAGGTCGTATATCCCTGTTGCAGAAGGTTGAATGTGAGATAAAGAAATATTTGAAATTATACCACAGATTCGACATGTAAATCCATATGATGACATTAGGAATTTGAGAATATGATATGGAATAGATAAGTTCAGGGGTAAATTAATCTACGGAGTACTACGGAGTAGTAGTAAGTAGTAGTAGGTACAATATTTTAGATAGATCTAACAATTTTTCTCATAGATCCAATTTTCATCTGAAACATCGTAGATTAGAGGAGCCCTAGACGCTATGGATCAACCAATAGAGGGGAACGTTCAAGGGAAATTCCTTATGTGCATACACTGGATCGGCTATTAGGTGGAGAGGAACTTGAATTTTCTATTTTTCCACCCTTTCCTTTTTAAAAAGGCCCCTTTGGCTCTTGAATATACTACAATATGGCAATCTTCGATTCAGAGAAGCGCCCTCGCGGCCTTCGTGTGCCCTCTCTTGCAGGACTAAAGTCTTCAGCAACGAAATCGCAATTCTCCTTCAAGAAACCCGACTCTATCCCATCCGTATCTGACGAGTCAATCTCGAAATCGACACTCCCTGCCCCTCCACCACCAAAGCCGGCCCCTCCGCCGGACAAGGAACTCCCACTGCCTCCGAAACAGGAAATTCCAAGCGCATCCAACAACCCATACTTCCCTCCGATCCCCCGGAATGCAGTCCCAGAACGACGCCCAATTGAACGGGTCCCAGTCCCAGCGCAGCCTTCCTCTCGCACGACAGGCATGCGAAGCAAGATATCGCTACCCGATTTCCATGCGCCTCAACAGCCAACTCCAGTGGCTCCCTCCCCCCAAATTCCGACCATAGTTCAGGCCCCAGCTCCCGCTCCAGTTCCGCCCCCGGTTTCAGCTCCAGTTCCAGTTCCAGACGAGGCCAACTCTCCCCAACTGGAAGACTTTATCCCGACTCCAGACAGCGCCGAACCGCCACTCGCAGTGCCAGAATTGTCCCGTGAAGAGCTAGCCCCCTCGCCCTTCGTCCCACCGGATGTTGAACCCGTGGCACCGAGTTTGAACGAGATACACCTCACATGCTACCAGCAGCACCGCGCGATGCCCGTGGCACAGAACACGTGGTGTCCGATGCCGTGCATGACCTGTCAAAAATTTGATATTGAGATCCGGCACCGCTGTGTGTTCTGCTGCCTGCGCATCTGCGAGACCTGCTACCAGACCCTACAGAAATGCAAGAATCGTTCGGTGGAGGAGCTGGTTGATCGCATCGCAGTCTAATTTGTTGATATCCTTCTCATTTTGAGGTGTTGGATATGGTACGTTGGCATAAATCATCAGCATATATTGCATGATCTCCTGCGCAGGAAGTACAGTTCCTAGTATTAGTTCTGTTTTCGTTTCTTTATTTCTTATCTGTCGATTTTTTTTTTTAATGATACCAAGGACCTCGTGTATATTATGGCTTAACCAGGAGGACCAAAGCTGCATGTTTATAATGAATACCTCTTTTTCTTTTTGGGGCATTTGTCTCATAGTGTAGCATTTCGTAGAGATACAAATTCGTAGAGGTTGGCCTATGTGCTAGGTATGCCAAATCGTCAGCTTATTGCCGTGTCAAGGAGATTCCCATATGGTACAAACGACTCGGATAGATCAATCATGATCCTCCTCGGTCAGGCCAGGACATCCTTCCAGCTCAAGATCCGTTTCGTAGGCATATTTACACCAGAAACAATACCGATATTTCTCGCGCAGAAAGAGAACCAGCTTGTGTAGCCGTTCAGCTGGCTCTAGCGCATTGAACGCGTCGAGCTCCTCGTCGTCTTCTTCCAGCTCCATCTCCAGTGTGGAGGTATTCTGATCTTCACTGCCAAGGGCCTTTTTATCCTCCCGGTCCATAGTCGGGTCATCGTATTGTGGTAGTCGTACTTTGGGGAAAAAGGACGAAGGGAGTGAGCATTGGAGAGTATGGCGCGTCTGGCGATCACTGTCGTTCTGTTCGCGCTCACGGATAAGACCGCGGTAGAGGACGTTGGCATGGGATGTGAGCTTGATTGGCTTCTTCTTTGTCTGGACAGCGTCGGGTTCGTCGCGTGGTGGACTAGGATCTGTGGAGTCGCCTTCTTTGTTGGACTTGGCCGAGGAGTCTATTCCTTGTTCTTTCTCTTCGTCGGACGCCCCACTCTCCGATTCTGCATCCAGCCTCTCTGCAACTTTCTGCGCAGCGCGCACCTGCGCTTCGATGCGTCTCAACTCACGCTCTTCACGAACGCGATCTCGGTAACTTCCCTCCTCATGCTTGATTCTTTTCACTGCTTCTTCTGCTTCCTCCCGGAGCTTGCGCTTTTTCTCCGTGTCCAACCCGATTCCGCCGCGGTTTTCTTTCAAGGTTAGGTTCAGGGGTTCAGCGCGTGCCTGTAGGAAAGAATTGGTAGTGTCGGAATCGCTGGCTGCAGAAGGTTTGCCAAGTACTCCACCAGGTTTGAACCCAAGCTTTGCCATCATTTGGAATCCTTTGTTGGTGGGGTTGAGGGTGCTTGTGGCCAAGGCTTCCTCTCGGCGGGCAGCTTCTTGGGCGGCGCGTTCAGCTTTAGATGGGACTCGGCCCCGGGTTTCGGCCTGCATATGGAAGAGAATGTTAGAGTGGGTTTGACACTTGGCCGGAGACAGGTGTAGAATGTGGAAGATAAGGTACCTCTCGTAGCTCGCGACGTTTTTTTTGTGTAAAGGTCTCCTTTTGAGTAGGCTCTTCAATCACCATATTCATGTAATCATCTTCATCTTCAGAAGCCATGTTGCCAAGATTTTAAGGTAGAAGCTAAGAAAGGGAAAAGGGGAGAGAAGGAAAGAGAGAAAGAGAAGCCGCAGACGGGAGACCGCTTTAGGTTTTGCGGGGAACGGTGGGGCCCTTTTAAGGGCCCTTTTGAGGGCTATATATAATATACACTACACTACCTATATAATAATATATAATATAATATATTAAGTATTAATTGACCCAAAAACAAATGTGACAGACTGGATATGTTGACTAGAACATGTCTCTCTTTGTTTAGAGACTAGATGGTTTCAGATATCAATGTCTCACGTTTATCCTCAAAAAAGTGGTATAGAGCGTATATAGCTAGATAACTGATAAATGGATATAACTAATGTCCCTAGGTATTGGTTACTTCTAAAATAAATGTAGTTTGCTGTTCCCCTTCTGGGGATTAGTCTGCCGTCGGCTAAAAATACCCCATGTCTTTCATGGACGTTGCTTTTTCCCTTCCCTTGCAGTACATGTGATACAACCCTGCAAGCGTCTACTAAGCATATCTCAATGGAGGAACAGTGGTGCAAGGGCTTTGTCCTCGTGGTACTCAGGTGGCTGCGTTGTCACCGTGACTTCGATGGATAAGGGTCGACTTTTCTTTTACCGGCCCTTTATAAGCCATGGCATTGACTGGTTCACAATCAGACTGTGGGTTATCATGGCTATTTTCTTGTACATCTGCTCTTTGATATCCCTAGCCTCAGCGTCTACAGTGGTGGACCTGGGATATGCTAGCTATGAAGGTCGCACACTATCTAGCGGAGTCACACAGTGGCTTGGTATGCGGTTTGCTGCTCCTCCGGTAGGAGAACTGCGATTTGCTGCCCCGCAGGACCCTTTGTCTGTCAAGGGAATACAGCAAGCAATCGAAGTAGGCATCTCTTGTGTCCATTTCTTCATATGTGGCTACTGACTATCTATCAGCATGGAAGTATATGCATACCCACAGCAGGAAGTGAAGGCCGGGCAGTCCCAGAAGGAACTTCAGAGGACTGCCTGTTCCTAGATATATATGCTCCTACAACTGCAGAAAAATCAAAGAAACTACCAGTCTACTTTTTTATACAAGGAGGAGGGTTCGCGGGAAATGCAAATGCCAACTATAACGGCACTGGATTGATCAATGCATCCGGAAACAATATGGTGGTGGTAACTTTCAACTATCGGGTTGGTCCCTACGGATTTCTTGCTGGACAAGAGGTCGAAAAAGGAGCGAGTCTGAACAACGGTCTGAAAGACCAACGCAAGGCACTGAAGTGGGTTCAGAAGCATATCAGCAAGGTAGGTCGAGGTGCTATTTCGTTCCCTACGTTCGTTGTTTGACATTTGGTTTTTGACACTGTCTCTAGTTTGGTGGAGACCCCAAGCATGTTGTTATCGGTGGTGATAGTGCAGGTGCGGCCTCAATAACTCTCATGCTCTCGGCGTATGGTGGCAGAGATGATGGCCTGTTTGTTGCAGCAGCAGCAGAATCACAGAGCTTTGGCCATATGCTCAACATCTCCGAAAGTCAATTTGCATACGACGCGCTGGCAACTGCGACTGCATGTGACAGTAGTCAAAATACCCTGGCATGTCTGCGCAACCTCGATGTCAATGCTTTGCAGCAGAAGAACGTCAACAGACCCTACCCGGGAGCAAAAGGAAAGCCCTTGTTCCAGTACGGTCCTACAATCGACGAGGACTTGGTAGCAGACTACACGTACCGCCTCTTCCATGAAGGCAAGTTCATCAAGGTACCAGTGATATTTGGTGATGATACCAATGAAGGCACGACTTTCGTTCCCAAGAGCACTGCCAGTGTCGACGCGGCGGATACGTTCATTCGGAACCAATTCCCATCAATAAAACAGGCCCATATTTCCAGGATCAACAGTATATATCTTACTGAGAACCAGACGGAGACATTCCCTGGCACTGGGTCCTACTGGCGGCCGGCAAGTACGGCGTACGGCGAAATGCGCTACATCTGTCCCGGAATTGACATGTCTTCTGTCTATGCAGCGGCAGGTGTCCCAAGCTGGAACTACCACTACGCAGTTCAAGACCCCGCCAACGAGAGCTCGGGAATGGGCACATATCACACCGTCGAAGTGAACGCGATCTGGGGTCCGACTAATACTGGCAACAATCAAGCTCCAGCTTCATACTACACCACCAACGCAGAAATTGTGCCTATGATGCAAGGTTACTGGACAAGCTTCATTACATCTCTGGATCCGAACACTAAACGTCTTCCTTCGAGTCCAAAATGGGAGACTTGGGGTCAAGATGGTACTGGATATCGGCGGATCTTCATTCGAACCAACAAGACTAAGATGGAAACGGTGTCAGAGGGACAAAGAAGCCGATGTAAATATTTGACTAGCATTGGTGTTGATTTGAAGCAGTAGCATATATATAATACACATACCCCTTGGAAGTAAATAAAATTGTGAATTAACCTTGATCTACTCAAGCTTTTTGACTAGTCGATTTCTTTACTATAAATATGGACTAGCGGATCCTTTTTTTTTTGTAGATCTTGTAGATCTCGATGAACTTGACTTTTATTCCCAGCCTTACGCCAGACAATGTATATACCAGCCCAACAGGATGTGCAAAGTGTGACATATAAAAAACAGACGTCGAACAGAAGTTGAAATGCAAATTGCAAAAATGCAAGATTACCGCCTGCCACGCGCCCGCTCGTACTCGTTGGCGGCACGGCCCTCCTGGCTCTGAATCTCCGCAACAAGACGCTTGTACTTCTTCTCGTACTCGGAGTCGCGCTCCTTCTTCTCGCGCAGCTGCTCGCGAGCAACGAAGCTGGCGTCCTTGCGGAGTTCGCGCATGGCGCCCTTGCGCTCGCGCTTGAACTCCTTCTTGAGACGGTTGGACTCGGCACGCTCGCGGTCTGGATCGTAGTGCTTGTCTGGGTTGAAGTTCTCCTCGAACTTCGGGATGGCTGTCTTGATGGCAAGGGGCTTGTGATCGTGCAGGAACAGGGGGCGACGAACGAGACGAGCCTGTGCGAGGTGGGCGTCGATCTTGTCCAGGGCGCTCTGGATGGGCTCCCGAGCTGCTGAGTATACCTTGCCCTTGAGGGATTGGCGGAGGTACTGCAGAACGGCACGGACCGGTGTGAAAATCTCGGTGAAAGCTGATTTCTCGGCCCAAATGTCGGAAGCGGAACCAAGAAGAGTCACGAGAGTAGTGAGAAGGGAGAGCTTGAGTTCCTCCTGCGCCTGGGGATCAGAAGCAGAGGTAGTCACATCGCGGAATTGCAGCTTGCGAGGTGTGACCTTCTTGGAGGGCACGAGCTGAACAGATTCCAGTGACTTTCTGTAGGGGAAGGCTCCGAACTTGACAGTTGGTTCGGTAGGAGCAAGGTTGCAGAGAGCATTTAGAGTGTAGTTGACAAACTCGGGCATATATCTCTTCGAGGCCTTTTGATATTGGAGGCAAAGACTTGCGGCAAATGTACCACTTGCAATGTCTGCGAGCGAGCTGGTGGTGCACTGGCCCAGGTACCGCGCCAGGCAGAGATGAGCGGGTGTGGCCGTCGTGTGGAAGTGATCTGATGTGGGGAAAAAGGTCGAGAGCCCGGTAAGCAAGATGAGGTCGCCGGGAAGCAGATTGAGTGGGCGTTCCTTGCCAATCTCACGAAGTTGCGCTCGGCACGCGATTGTCACGTTCAAAGGATGGGTCTTAGCCAAAGAATGGATGTGACGAATGATATTCTCCAGAATGGCAAATGGAGGCTGCTCAGTCTTGTTACCCATGTAAGAAACATGTTCAACAAGAACTTCAGCAAATCGACCAAGCTTGTCCTTGTTGCCAGGTCTAAGCCGGGGATGATGCAATGCTCGAATGCGCTGGATAACCGTCGGGATTTCCTCGACAGGCACGTTCTTGGTGATACTCAGGAAGCTTTCGTGGTCTTTTGGACAAGGATATGTGAATGCGAGCTTTCCGTTTGCTTCCTTGTTAACCTCGGCAGCAGTCGAAGCGGCAGCGGAATCCTCTGTTGGTAGCGTCATTCCGTTGATGAGCTCGTCCTCCCCATCTGGTCCGTCAGACTCGTCGCTCGACAAATCCTCCTCGTCCTCTTCCATGTCACTATCACTGTCACCCATGTCGAGACTGGCATTTGAATCTGTCTCGACCAAATCTTCGTCGATGATGAAATCATCTTCATCTTCAACGCCGAGTTCAGGGCGTGTTTCAGTAGGGTAAGCTGGAAGGCCGAAATGCGTAGCATCGTCAATTTCCGACTCGTCATCCTCGGGAATTTCGTCCTGGTCCATATTGTCCTCCTCGTCATCAGTGAGCTTCTCTCCACGCATTCGTCGAAGGCGATCGTTCTCAAGTTTCTTGAGCCGCTCAGCCTCTTCCTCCACCTTCTCCTCTTCGGTCTTCGTGCGATCTGTGGGTCTTGATCGCTGATCGAATGTCATCTGCCTAAGACGCTGATCGTATTCCTTCTCTGGATCCTTGCTGTTTTGCGACTCTTCCAGCATGGCAGCGCGCTCTGGGTTCATCTCCGAGAAATCGTGCTTCGGTGCCTCTGGCTTGCCCGACTTGGCTGCAGGCTTGATGCCCCGCAGAGCGTCGAAAAGATCAGGAAGTTCTTTATCCAATGCTTCGCGTAGATCTTCATCCTCATCTTTGGCCTGTTGCCGTTCCGCTTTGTAGAACTTAGACTTGGCAATGACTTCTTTCATAACCTCAGCCTTGGTCTTTTTGCGTCCTGGCTGTTCTTCGTCTCCATAGTCGATGAAGTCCTCCTGGTCCTGATCCTGATCTTCATCGCCATCGGGGAATCGCTTGCGTTTCCGTGACGCTTCCTCGTCGGATTCCGCGCCATCCAAGTCTCCGGCCTCGAAGTCATCTTGGGTTGTTCCATCGAATGACAAAGATTGACCCATGTGAGTAAGCTGCATCTCATCATCATCGTCCTCGAGGTTGAACATGGACTCCTTCCGCATCTTTCTCTGGCTCTCTCTCGCAAATCTCTCGGCGGCCCGTTCCTCGGGTGTCATGGTGGGATCGTTCTCACCGAACCGGCGATCGATAAGTCCACCGATCTTGTTTCGGCTGTTCATCTCTTTCAAAAGAGTGGCGCGTCGCTAATCAAAGTCAGCTTTTTGATCGTAGTGCTTGAGAAAAGCAGGTAAACCTACTCTTTCTTCACCCAGTGATTTGGTAACACCTGGGCGAGCGCCACCTCCAGCGGTCATGTTGCCATCTCTGGTTGTGACATCAAACTTGCTGGATTTGTTTATCGTTTTGATCTCGAAAGGGTTGAACCGATCTCGAATGGCTTGCAAGGCGACCTCGCGCTGGTTGCGATTCTTCGCACCGACTCCGGTCTTCGCATTCTGTCGTTTTTCTTTCTTGGACTTCTGGGGACCAAGAACTCCATTTTCACGGAGCGAAGCCTTCAGCTGTTTCAGCTGAGAAGGCGGCATTGTGTGTGGTTGAGGTTTGAATTCGAGAGTTGGGAGTTTTTTTCCCCGTCGTGATTCTCATCAAAAAAATCAGGCACACCGCCTCCGCGGCCTGCGCCGATCAAGATTCTGCCGATTGTGTTCTCCGCTATCTCCAACTCTCAAACCACTATGGCTTCCTTTTCTGGGGATGGTGTGCTATGGCTTTGCCTAGGTATGGAGACATCTACCTGGCGAACGAGCTCAACTCAGATGATTAACTTAGTCAGGCGTCTCACTGTTCTTTGCCATCCGCGGTATCGCCACAGACCTCCGCCAAGTCGTTGATCTGACAGAGATCAAACATGTTGAAAAGGAAGACAGGATTATTAGCGAGGGAACAGAAGAAGGTGTGCAGATATATATATGAAATATGTTACTGTACTAACAATACTATAGCTCTCAAGTTAGACACCCTCTTGAAGCTTTCTCAAAGCACAAGCCATGACCTCCGAGCTGCGTATGCTAAAACGACGTCTTTTCAAACCGCTTTGTGCATCAGCTAATACCTTTCAGGGCCTTGCGCATCATTTCAGAACGATCCACCAAGGGAGATACTCGTGATTTGCTATTGGAGGAGCTGGCATCCAGGAACAAAGTTCACCAACACCGAGCTCTGAATGCATTGAACTTCTTAGTTTCCAACCGAGCCCGTATGCTACCCATTCTGCCTCATTCTGACAGTATATGAATGTTCATACTATTCTGCAGTCACTCGAACCTCGATTTGCACTCGACTCGCCGATGTGCCCACCTTTACGGCCATTATCAACTGCCTTTGCAACTTATTAGAAGAACACGTGGAGAAGACATCTACGACCAATTCGCCCATTTTGCCAAAGACACGGCCGATGGGAGAGAAGAAGGCGCTGAACATTCTGAATGTCTTGTTGCCGGAGAATATACCCGACGCATTAGAAGCGGGGATCATCAGTCGATGGCTCTGCAGATATCCCTTCCCGTGTGCAATAGCCGAGCCTTCGCGCCGGCGGGATGTGGTGATCCTCATGAAAACATGGTGGTCGGATGACGTAGTCATGAGCGCGATTTTCAGTGCGCTTTCCTCGCACCCAGATGGGATCAAACAGCTGCGGAAACATGGACTGATGGGCAGCATGGTTGAAGAAAATGATCACGATGAGGATGACGGGGACAGTGATGTGTGGATGGTAGATGCGGATGAGGCTGGGGGTAATTTTGGAAGAACTCCACGTAGACCTCAGGAGGGGAGTGCCGAAGAACAAGCGCTTCGCCGACGCAGAAGAGAAGCTATGGTCTTGAGCGATGGTGGACGGCCAATCGGCAACGACGACATAATTCAACGACCTATTGATTGATCTCGGTGAGTTTGTGCTCTTTATGATCTTTCAACTTTGCACCAAGTCTCAAAACCACTCAGCTACTGTATTTTTTATGTCCATGATACCCCACGCCAGAAATATGATATGCCATGAATTTTATTTGAACCTCAATTTAAAACTAAAGCCCCATCCACGCTGATTTGGCCAAGTGGTCAGTCTTCTTCCGACTGTTCTTGATCACACCAAATGCCTTCAATTCTGAGAGAGCGCCATAGAATAAAGACATTACGACTCGCTCATCGCAGCCATCAGCTTCTTCGGTTTCAAATACACCATAGAAAGCTTGCCAGAGATCATGAACATTCACCAGAGCGCCCGAATCAAGGTACAATTGATAAAGAATTGCGGTGGCGGGTTGCTTGGCTGAGACCTTGGTCATAGTGACATCCGACGAGGAAAGTAGGTAATCAAAAGGAGTAGCCAGGGCGCGCTCGATTGCAAAGCGCGGCCGAGGGGCGAAGGTTTCCTTCAATGGATTTCGCAGATCAAACAGGAAGGCTTCATGTAGAAACAGATCTTGTGGGTTGATAAGAGTTTCGGTGAGGTGCACTTGTAAGAGAG